GTATAAAAAACAAAATTATCTTCCCCGGGAAGAGTTTGTGCATCACGACCCCGGCTCGGGGCCGGCGGGGGGGCCGGGGGGGCCGGGCAGGGCGGCGTTGGGGGGAGCGTGCCGGAGCCGGGGCGCAGCGGCGGCCGGCGCGGATGTTAGAGAAGAGGCGAGTCTACGTTACGCGGGGAGGGGGCGCGGGGGGGTCCAGTCGAGTCGCGCGTCCCGGGAATCCGAGCACTGAGATGGGCCAGGGAGGCCGGTGATGCCTGGTGGGGGGGGGACATAGACCCTGAGAAAGGGACCTACTGGGGTGCCAGGACCTGGGGGGGTACCAGGACATGGTGCCCCCCCTGCTCCCCACCTCTCTACAAGCCCCAGGGACCACAGTGCCATCGCTCTGTGATGGATGGGGATGCCGCATTGGGGTTCCAGCTCCAAAGCCCGTGCCCCCCCCAGGGTTTGCAGCCAGAGCCACGTCTCCCCAACCATGGCACAGGGTCCACACACCCCCATGCCCACCCTGGGCACCACCACGCACCTCACTTGATGAGGATCCCTGCAGGCCGTGCTTCATCCTCGCTGGCGTTCCTCAGGTTCCTCTCCACTTCCTCCGAGGACCTGGGGCAGAGTGGGGTAAGAGGTGGCCAGGGGCACCCCCACACCCCCTCGGTGCCGGTGGCAGGGGCTGTGGGCACTGCTTACACCATTTCCCCCCCTCTACTCACGCCAGAAAATCCTTCACTTCCTCCACGGTGATATCCCCAGTGGTGTCCAGTGGGTTCTCCATGCTGCTGTTGGGGGAATCGATGGTGCCAGGCGAGGAGGTGGCCGCGTGCTCCTCGGGGGACCCTGGGGAGCCACAGGGACGGGAGGGCTTTGGGGCAGCCATGACACGGGGCCAGCCCAGGTCAGGGCACACGGGGCCACAGTGCACGTGGTGGGGACGGGGTGATCACTCACGGTCACTGTCGCTGGGGGAGCATCGGCCCTCGGGGCTGCACGGGACGTGGGTGCCATTGGCCTGCGGCAGCTTCGGCGTCGCCGTCAAGCTGTTGCTGGAATGAAAGAGGGGGAGGAGTTGCTGCCGGTACCACGGGGTGGGGGTACAGGGGTGCTGCCATAGCAAAGCCCCCACATCCCTGGGGCACATCCCACCTGAGGCAGGAGGTGTCCTGGAGCCGGGCCACCTCCAGCCGGCACAGCGGCTCTGTCACATTTCTGGCACTCAGAGAGAAGCGCTCGAACTCGGATGGCGAAATTAGGTAGAAACCTAGAAGGAGGGGACAAAAGAACCTCAGGGACCCTCTGTGAGGCTCCAGCCAGAGATAATGTCCCATCTACAAGGGACATCACCCCCAGTGCAAGGCTGGTGCCCTCACCCTGGCCGTGCTTGGTGAAGACGCAGGAGGCGATGCCACTGATGTCCTCCTTGCGGATGCAGCCATAGTGGACCTGGGGCCTCAGGCCGGGCACGGTGAAGATGTGGATGTCACCCAGGTTGGTGAGACAGGCCAGGCAGTTCTCCAGCCGTTCCTCAGAGCTGGCACTGGCCAGGCTCACCAGGGCCACCTTCCGCACCCGGCAGCCCTCGTGCGCTGTCAGCTTGAACTTGGTCTTGGCACTCACTTTGGGCAGCGTGAAGACCTGAGGGGGGCAAGAGAAGCCAGATACCAGGGGGGAACAGGAACCTGTGGGGTTTTGGGGGGCACTCGAGCAGCCTCCCACCAGGGAAGCCTTTGGCAAAGGGCAGCACTTCCCCCTCAGAGCCACCACTCTGGGAAGAGGCACAGGAGTGCCCCAGCCAGTCATCTCCAGCCTCATCCCTGTGCCCAGGGTGATGGGGACACCCAGAGAGGACATGGGACATGTGGTGGGTACCATCCTCACCTTGAACTGCTCCTCAGAGGAGATGAGCATGGAATGGCTGCCCTGCATGTCGGGGGCCTTGGCCAGGTCCCGTGAGACCTCGTAGGGCTCGGGCAGGGGGTTCCCCCGCCCGTCCAGCACCGCAATAGCCACCACTGGAGCCCGGTGCATCAGCTGGATCTCCTTCCCCAGCACCGCCTCCACCGCCCGCTCCGAAAACTTCTCCTGGGATGGCACCTCCAGGGCGTAGGCGAACACCGAGCCGGAGTTGGTCCCTGCCCACATCGTGGGGCCGTGGTGGGCGGCTGCGGGGACGGGAGCAGCGTCAGAGCCCCTTCCCCACAGCGTGGCACCAGCCAGGCCCAGCTTGGGGGCTTTTCCCAGGAAATTGGAGGGGAAGGGGGGTGTCTCACCGTCTCGGAGGAAGGTGTCAGCGAAGTAGAGACATCGCACCACCCCTGAGAGCGAGTCGTCAGCCGAGCGGGGCTCGATCCGCCGCTGCACCGGCGTCATCTCTACCTCGGGGGGTCCCGCCTGCTCAGCCAGCTGCGCGTTGGCCTCCTGCACCTGGGGAGGGGGACACAGCAGGGGGGTCAGCCCCTGCCCGGTGGGGACGAGGAGCAGCCGTGCTGGCCCCACTCGTGGCTCACCTTGCTGGAGGGGCTGCTGGTGTTGAGCCTCTTCTTGCCCGACACCCGGCTCTTGCGGATGCGGCGGAAGGACTGCCGCAGGGACTTCTTGAGGGACTTCACGCGGGACAGGGGCCCCTCCATGGCCACAGCCCCTGCCCGGTGGGGACGAGGAGCAGCCGTGCTGGCCCCACTCGTGGCTCACCTTGCTGGAGGGGCTGCTGGTGTTGAGCCTCTTCTTGCCCGACACCCGGCTCTTGCGGATGCGGCGGAAGGACTGCCGCAGGGACTTCTTGAGGGACTTCACGCGGGACAGGGGCCCCTCCATGGCCAGAGAGTCGTTGGGGTGCAGCGTACACCTGTGGGCACCGATATGCTCAGCACCCAGACCCCCACCACATCCTTCCCAGGAGGAGGGGTTCCCCAGCACCAATATTCCCCCCCCATACCTGGCCAGAACGGGGTTGCGCCGGTAATAGTCGAAGTCTCGGAGGAAGGTGTCGGCGAAGTAGAGACATCGCACCACCCCTGAGAGCGAGTCGTCAGCCGAGCGGGGCTCGATCCGCCGCTGCACCGGCGTCATCTCTACCTCGGGGGGTCCCGCCTGCTCAGCCAGCTGCGCGTTGGCCTCCTGCACCTGGGGAGGGGGACACAGTGGGGGGGGTCAGCCCCTGCCCGGTGGGGACGAGGAGCAGCTGTGGCGGCCCCATTCCCTGCTCACCTTGCTGGAGGGGCTGCTGGTGTTGAGCCTCTTCTTGCCCGACACCCGGCTCTTGCGGATGCGGCGGAAGGACTGCCGCAGGGACTTCTTGAGGGACTTCACGCGGGACAGGGGCCCCTCCATGGCCAGAGAGTCGTTGGGGTGCAGCGTACACCTGCGGGCACCGATATGCTCAGCACCCAGACCCCCACCACATCCTTCCCAGGAGGAGGGGTTCCCCAGCACCAATATTCCGCCCCCATACCTGGCCAGAACGGGGTTGCGCCGGTAATAGTCGAAGAGTCCAAAGCCATGGCTGGTACCGAAGGCCACGAGGTTCCACTCGGAGTGGAGGGTGACGGCGGTGACGGCGGCGGGGGGCACGCACTGCACCAGCACGCTGGGCTGGAAGCCCGGGGCGAAGGGCAAAGGCCCGTTCCTGGGGGCCAGCCGGTCGTGGCCCTTCCAGGTGAAGCCCTCGCGGTCCTGCAGCAGGTCCACCGTGGCCACGCTGACCGCGTGCTCCGACTTCTCGTCGCTCAGCTCCATCACCAGCACCTGCAGGGGACAAGGATGGATGGTAGGGGATGTGTACCAGCCCCCGCCCTGGGACAGCCACCCTGCTGCGAGCTGGGGGCAAAACGCAGCAGGTAGGAGCCCTTCATGGACAGGGACGGGGGTCTTCAGGGTCTGAAGTTGCCCTATGTGGTGTCTCCTTGAGATGAAAGCCAAAAGGAGCCCAGCAGCTCTGTCTCCCGCTGCCCTACCTGCCCCGCTGTGCCAGCCACCACCATCTTGGCCGTGTACTTGCAGAGAGCAATCTTCTGCACGCCCAGGCGCGGGTCATCGCTGTAGGGATCAAAGCAGCCCACCTGCGGGAGGGACGGGGGGGCTGGGTTCCTTCATACAGCTGTGGGGCAGCGCCCCATTGCACCCCCATGTCCCCCCTGCCAGCTGGCGGGCAGTGGCTGCGGTGCACGGGCTGCTCCGGGCATCATGCCCAGGAAAGGTCTGTCCCCACGTGTCCCCCTCGATGCTGGGGCAGACCCGCGAGACGGGGCACGCAGAACAAGTGTCCCTTGTGTCCCCACGGGGCGTCACACAGCAGCTGTGCCCCGAGACAGAGGACACGTCCCCAGGGTGCAGCTGGGATGGCTCCAGCGGGTGCATCCTCCGTGCCCGCCTCTGGGCTTGTCTCCCCCCCCACTGCTGGAGGAGGCAGGGGGGTGCTGGGGTCTCCACAGCAGCGTCCCCCCCCACCCCAGGGACCTCACCTTGCGGAAAGGCGGCCACTCCTCCTCGCCCGCCTGGTTGAGGCTGTCGTTGTGCTCACAGTCCGTCTGGAAGATGTTGGCGGTGCCCAGCTTGTAGAGGGGCTTCAGGGAGACCCCCGAGGCATCCCAGAACCTCACGGTGCCATCCTCGTGCCTGGGGGGGTGATGGGGGGGACACGGGGAGGCCCTGTTAGCACAGGGCCCTGACATCTGCCTGGCTAACAAGAGCCGCCTGTGTGCTGGCAGCCACCGTGCCAGAAGCAAGGGGACAACACAGTGGGTGACACCACAGTGGGTGACACACTCCCGCCTGGCCACCAAGCCAAAGGAGAAGAGGGGCAGCCCCCCAAGTAAGAGTGGCAGGATGCCCACCACCACCCCATCCCACTCCCCAACCGCAGGAGGGGGTTGAGGATGTGTGTCCCCACACCCCCCAGCACATTTCAGGTTTCCCAGGGCCCCCTCCCAACTGTCAGGCCACTCACCCGGTGAGGAGAAGCCCCCTCTGCGTGGGCTCCTGGGCCAGGTTCTTCCCCCCATTGATGGGCCAAGCCTGAAGGGAAGGATGGAGGAAAGGATCAAGCCCATCCATGGGGAACAGGAGCAAGTCTCGGAGGAAGGTGTCGGCGAAGTAGAGACATCGCACCACCCCTGAGAGCGAGTCGTCAGCCGAGCGGGGCTCGATCCGCCGCTGCACCGGCGTCATCTCTACCTCGGGGGGTCCCGCCTGCTCAGCCAGCTGCGCGTTGGCCTCCTGCACCTGGGGAGGGGGACACAGTGGGGGGGGTCAGCCCCTGCCCGGTGGGGACGAGGAGCAGCTGTGGCGGCCCCATTCCCTGCTCACCTTGCTGGAGGGGCTGCTGGTGTTGAGCCTCTTCTTGCCCGACACCCGGCTCTTGCGGATGCGGCGGAAGGACTGCCGCAGGGACTTCTTGAGGGACTTCACGCGGGACAGGGGCCCCTCCATGGCCAGAGAGTCGTTGGGGTGCAGCGTACACCTGCGGGCACCGATATGCTCAGCACCCAGACCCCCACCACATCCTTCCCAGGAGGAGGGGTTCCCCAGCACCAATATTCCGCCCCCATACCTGGCCAGAACGGGGTTGCGCCGGTAATAGTCGAAGAGTCCAAAGCCATGGCTGGTACCGAAGGCCACGAGGTTCCACTCGGAGTGGAGGGTGACGGCGGTGACGGCGGCGGGGGGCACGCACTGCACCAGCACGCTGGGCTGGAAGCCCGGGGCGAAGGGCAGGGGCCCGTTCCTGGGGGCCAGCCGGTCGTGGCCCTTCCAGGTGAAGCCCTCGCGGTCCTGCAGCAGGTCCACCGTGGCCACGCTGACCGCGTGCTCCGACTTCTCGTCGCTCAGCTCCATCACCAGCACCTGCAGGGGACAAGGATGGATGGTAGGGGATGTGTACCAGCCCCCGCCCTGGGACAGCCCCCCTGCTGCGAGCTGGGGGCAAAACGCAGCAGGTAGGAGCCCTTCATGGACAGGGACGGGGGTCTTCAGGGTCTGAAGTTGCCCTATGTGGTGTCTCCTTGAGATGAAAGCCAAAAGGAGCCCAGCAGCTCTGTCTCCCGCTGCCCTACCTGCCCCGCTGTGCCAGCCACCACCATCTTGGCCGTGTACTTGCAGAGAGCAATCTTCTGCACGCCCAGGCGCGGGTCATCGCTGTAGGGATCAAAGCAGCCCACCTGCGGGAGGGACGGGGGGGCTGGGTTCCTTCATACAGCTGTGGGGCAGCGCCCCATTGCACCCCCATGTCCCCCCTGCCAGCTGGCGGGCAGTGGCTGCGGTGCACGGGCTGCTCCGGGCATCATGCCCAGGAAAGGTCTGTCCCCACGTGTCCCCCTCGATGCTGGGGCAGACCCGCGAGACGGGGCACGCAGAACAAGTGTCCCTTGTGTCCCCACGGGGCGTCACACAGCAGCTGTGCCCCGAGACAGAGGACACGTCCCCAGGGTGCAGCTGGGATGGCTCCAGCGGGTGCATCCTCCGTGCCCGCCTCTGGGCTTGTCTCCCCCCCCACTGCTGGAGGAGGCAGGGGGGTGCTGGGGTCTCCACAGCAGCGTCCCCCCCCACCCCAGGGACCTCACCTTGCGGAAAGGCGGCCACTCCTCCTCGCCCGCCTGGTTGAGGCTGTCGTTGTGCTCACAGTCCGTCTGGAAGATGTTGGCGGTGCCCAGCTTGTAGAGGGGCTTCAGGGAGACCCCCGAGGCATCCCAGAACCTCACGGTGCCATCCTCATGCCTGGGGGGGTGGGGGGGACACGGGGAGGCCCTGTTAGCACAGGGCCCTGACATCTGCCTGGCTAACAAGAGCCGCCTGTGTGCTGGCAGCCACCGTGCCAGAAGCAAGGGGACAACACAGTGGGTGACACCACAGTGGGTGACACACTCCCGCCTGGCCACCAAGCCAAAGGAGAAGAGGGGCAGCCCCCCAAGTAAGAGTGGCAGAATGCCCACCACCACCCCATCCCACTCCCCAACCGCAGGAGGGGGTTGAGGACGTGTGTCCCCACACCCCCCAGCACATTTCAGGTTTCCCAGGGCCCCCTCCCAACTGTCAGGCCACTCACCCGGTGAGGAGAAGCCCCCTCTGCGTGGGCTCCTGGGCCAGGTTCTTCCCCCCATTGATGGGCCAAGCCTGAAGGGAAGGATGGAGGAAAGGATCAAGCCCATCCATGGGGAACAGGAGCAAGTGTCACCCCTCCACCAACCCATCCTGGGGCTCGGGGACCTCCTCCTCGCCATCACTCACCGCAGAGGAGAGCCGGGGGCTCTGCTGCTCGCCGGCACTAATGATCCTCTCCCAGAGCTTGAGGGGCACGTTGGAGACGTGGCAGGAGCAGGTGATGGCGGAGGAGTGGAGCGGTGCCAGGTACGGGGCAGGGATGGTGGGCCAGCCCGGCGTCTGGAGGTCGATGGCCACCAGCTCTTCCTCCACCAACACCACGAGGGCACGGGGGTTCTCAAAGCCTGGGGAGGGGGGAGATGGCTGCTGCTAGTGGAGAGCCCATCACCACCACCCACTCCCCAGGGCCACCCCGGTGGGACGTACCTCCCTCGGCCACCTCGGCGCTCTGCACGGTGAAGAAGTCGATGACACGGGAGGTGAAGTCAAGCGTGGCCAGGGTCTGGCCCTGCAGCACGCTGACACAGTGCCGGTCACCGTAGCTGGCCCGTGGCATTCCCCCGCTGAAGATGATGAAGGGGTTCCTGGGGGGGAATGACAGAGCCTCCATCAGACCCTGCAGAGCATCTTCCCTGCAGCCCAGGTCCCCCCACCGCGTCCATCACCAGCCCAGCCCGCTATGGGGGACATACCCTGACTCACAGGTCCTCCAGAGAATTTTGCTGATGGCTTTGCAAGGGAATGGACCTGAAACAGAAATATCAACCGTGTAGCTGCAGCACCGGCACCAGGATGTGGCGGATCAGCCCCCAACCCTGAGATTCACCCCCCCGTACCGTAGGGGATGGTGGACATGACGGGCTGCTGGGTCCTCTGGCTGGTGCTGCTCACTGCCCACACCATGTACCCACCATCGCTGTGGGAGCTGACGATGCTCTTCCCGCTCTGCTCCCAGGCCAGGCTCTCCAGCTGCTGCAGGGGCACACGGGGAGGGGTTCAGCATTCAGGACAGGATTGGGGGGGAAACACGCAGGAGGCCCCAGCCCCACCAGCCCCCCCACCAGCCCCGGTACCTGGTTCCCCAGGAAGAGGTGCTGGACGGTGCGGGTGCTCTGCTCCCAGAGGACCACCAGCCCCCGGCTGTATCCGATGAGGAGCTGACTGCTGTCACGTGGGTGCTCCTGGATGGACTCCACCGGCCCCAGCGCCTTCCCGCAGCGGTAGTCATCAGGGACGCTGCAGTGGGGGACAAACAGAGGGGTCAGGGGGGGCTGGGAGCGGTGGGGAGGGGGCACGGGGCTGGGCAGGGCTCACCTCTGCAGGATCTCGTCCGGGAAGAGGGTTTTGTCCTCCAGCAGCACCAGGGTGGGCAGGGCGAGGAAGTACACCGCGCCGCCCTCGGTGCCCAGGCAGGCCACCGCACCGGAGGACGTCGGCAGGACCACCGTCACCCGCGTGATGCCAGGGGAGCAGCTGGAAGGGGGAGCAGGGGGGGTTCATCAGCCCCATGCTCGGTCTGGGGGAGCAGCAGAGAGAACCCAAACGTTCCCCGCCCCGACGCTGCATCCCCATCGGCCCAGGAGGACGGGGACATCCTCAGCACTAACAGCAATTAGCACCATTAATCACCCCCAGGACCTGCCAGCACCTATAAAAAGCCCAGGGCTGAATTTTTGCCCCCCCGCAGCGTCCCAGTCGGGATCAGAGGAGCATCCCAGCAGGGAAACCACAGCCACCAAGGGGACCTTGGCTGCCATCCCGCCCTAAGTGGGGACGGTTGCTCCCACGCATGGTTCCCAGCCGGCAGCGGTATCGCTTCCAGCCGCAGCCCCACGCGGGGGCAGCTGGAGACCACCCCCCCCCCACGAACAAGTACTTAGCACTGTCGGACCCTGGGCGTCCCGGGAGGCCGAAGCTGCGGGTCTCTTCCAGGTGGGAACAGCCCTCCTTTTGGCAAACCTCCCAGAGGTGCAGCGTGTTGTCATCCAGCAGGGAGAGGAGCCAGCCCTGGGCGGGGGGGGACGGACACACACACACAGAGTAGGGTGAGTGGGGGCTCAGGGGGGGCTTCTCCAGGCTCCCCCAGGGACACCCACCTACCTGGCCGGGGAGGAAGTGCAGCTGGGTGACAGTGGCCGTCTCCTTGTGCAAGCCCGTCAGCTCCACGCCTGGTGCTCCATATCTAGGTGGGGGTGCCGTCAAAGAAGCAACGAGAGTAGAGAATGCCTGGACCCCCCCAAAATTCCACCCCCAGGGTCACAGTTCTGCAAGCGGGAGCCAGTTTGGCCCCATGGAGAGCCAGGGCTGAGCATCCCTGGCAGCATCTCACGCTGGAGCCAGCCTTGGTACCACGATCTTCAGGCCCGGCTGGGATCCACCGAGCACTTCCAACCGGGATGCCCCGGGTCAGGATGCAGCCGGCACGTGGCCGGGGTGGGTGTGCGAGGGCCAGGCCGGCTCCTGCCCTCTGCCAAACCCTCTTCTTCCTCAGCTGCAGGGCCGTGGCGGTGCAGAGGCACCGGCAGCACAGGGTGGGGTTTGGCATGCACCGGCACGGCCTCACTCACCCGACTGGTCCCGGCTCCTCCACCGGCAACGCCGCTCGGCAGGAACCGGGGCAGGACCCGTGGGGCAGCTCCAGCACCGCACGGCGCACCCCGACCCGGCGTCTCCCCAACACCCCTGGACCCAGCAAACCCCTTCCCCCCCAGCCTGGCATCACCGGTGAAGGGCACGGCTATGGTTTGGCACACACTTCCATCCACCAGCCCCTGTGGTCCTCGCCCCCGGCTGCCCCCCTGGTGCCCTCAGCATGGAGAACTGGCCCGGCGGCTCTTCCCAGACCGACAGGCAGGAGCTGTCTGGCGGCGCCGGGCACGGGTGAGCTGGCAGAGCCAGGCCAGAGCCACAGAGGGTTTGGGGAGGCCAGAGGATGGGGCAAGCACAAAGTGGGCTCTGGGTGCTGCAGGGATGGGAGATGCCACCCATCCTTGCTCCTCCTGGGGGCTTTGCCCACCCAATGGTGCCACTGGCTTCAAGACAGGCAGCCCTCAGTGGCCGGGGAACATCGGTGGCACCGGCTTACCATGACAGGGTTCTGAGCCCAGGGACCCCCAGTTGCCCCAGGGGATACCCCAGGCTGTGGCACCCCTTGATGCCGGGCTGTCTGCAGCCGGATCCACCCAGCCCAGCTGGGGAGCACCCATGGGTGCCCCCACTAACCAGTAGCACCAGTCAGGCCAGCTCCAGCTGCCGCCTCGCCCGGCCCCAGCTTCCCCAACACCCTGAACCTCCAGAAGCATCTTCTGGGTGGCAAACGGAGTGGGGCCGGGTGGCCACCGGCTGCAGTGCCACCCCACTGCCAGCCCCGAGCCGGGTACCACCCCAAAAACACCCCCGGAGAGGATGCACAGGGCACCGCAGCCCCCGGCCACGGCGGCTCCGTAACCCCCGGGGAGGGGGGGTGCTGGGGGGGTTTGATGGAGGGGTGGCCGGAGCCAGCACCCCACAGCGGGGCGGCCGAGCGGAGCGGCCGGCGACGTCGCGGCCGGGCTGGCACTGGCAGTGAAAAAAAAAAAGGGAGAAAAAAAAAAAAACACGCCCAAAAAAAGGGGGAAAAAAAAAAAGGGGAAAAAAAAAAAAGGGGAAAAAAAAAAAGGGGGAA